GGTTTCATTTCAATCTGGGATTTGCTTTTGTCAATTTCACGAGTCCTGTTGCTGCATTGAGGTTTTATATAGCCTTTAACAACCGAGAATGGAGCTGTGGAGACAGTGGGAAAAAAATCTGTGAAATTGGTATTGCAAAATTCCAGGTAACATTTGCCATTTTCCAGTGAAAGGTCGGTTCCTTTTTGTTTTATCCCTCTGTCTCTTTGACGTCGATGATTAATGCCCCAATGTGTTTTTCTTTTTCAATCTTGAATTCCTGCGGCCTCCTTCGACTCAATGGGTTGATTGATTCATACAAGCTATTTTTCTTTTATTGAAATTCTACAGGGAAAAGATACTTTGAAGGAACAATTTGAGAAGTCATCCTTCCCTTGTCATACAAATGAGTACTTGCCAGTGGTCTTTTCCCCTCCACGCGATGGTTTCAACGGCTCTAGGCCAAGTCTTGTTGGCAGACGAACCCACGTAACTGCAACTTCGAAGGATCAAAAAGTCATGATCATGACCCAGAGGAAGAACAAAAAAGTTTGAATTGCTTTTAGCTTTATCTTCGCACATAATTAGACTCTCTCTTATCTAGGTTATATTAGTGATGGCTAGACTTCTGCTCGAGAATCTTAGGTAATGATGCAGTGCACTTTACGCATGTAACTTGGGTGAGGTGGCCCATGTTTTCATAGTCTCCCCAGGTGTTTCAGAATCGAGGGTGAAATGGAAACATATGTCTGTTTTAACCTAATTTTCTTTCGAGATAATAGAGCTACTTCCTATGTTTTCATTGTCTCCCTAGGTGGATTGTGGCGGTTGGTGTTGGAACTCTAGGGTGAATTGGAAACATTGGTTAGAGTTTGTAATATTTGTATTTTGTATGATCAGACGTCTATGAGAACTGCTTTTGGTGTATGATGAGGCATTGGGATTCCTTCCATTTTGTGTAATTAGTATTGTCGTATTGTATTAGCATATTTCCTACTGAGATTACGTGTTTATGTTTCCTAGTCTTTTTTTTTTTGTTTTTGGTTTCAGAGATCAAATCTTCCATTATGTGTCGTTTCTGTTTTCACGGTCTCAATTCATTTGCACCACTTACAAACTTACAGCTGTTTTATGTGGAGAGGCTGCTACTTGTTAGAAGTTCTTGACATGGGTGCTGCACTGGGGCTGAATGCTGGGATACTTTTGGGTGAAAATACTTGTTAGTACATTTTGTTTAGGAATTCAACTTCGTACTTCTAATAAAATATAGTCGTATTATATTTGCATGGCTTTATGGTTTTCTTTTTATTTACTAGGAGTCATTTTAATGCTAGTAGAATCCAAAGATGATTGACATGGCTGACCAAGGGCTAAAGATGGAGGATCCCCATTTGCCATATAAAGCTACTATGTAGAAGTAAAACTTTTTGGTTTCTCTTCAGCCTATTTTTTACCTATTACAATATCCTATGCATGTGGATAAATGCAACATGTTTTTCCTTTGTACAATCTATGACAAGTGCGAATCACGGGTATTTGAGTGATTAAATTTTGAGTTTGGATTTTGCATGTTGTTGAAAGCTCTACTTCGTTGTAGCTGATTCTGTTAGCCTCTCTCTCTCTCTCTCTCAGTGATAGTTTTGTGCCTTATCCTTTTGATTTCTTTAGCTAGAGAAATAGGAACTTATCAAAAGCAATAATAATAATTGTGAAGTCGCCAACCAAACAGTAATATGGATCAGAATTGACTTGTTAACAAAAAAAAGTATTCTGTTTTGAAATCAGCAAGAGGTTAATGTTCAAACTGTTTAATGTGATCTGCACCTCTTTAAGTATGGGGTTGGGTTGAAGTAGTTCTGGGGTAATGTATTGCTCAGTTTATCTGCTTTCACTTAACTGTACGTTAAGCTGCCTCAGAGCAATGCTCGAGCCATGATTGCAGGTTCAACGTTTCCTTTATTTTTTTGGAGAGCAGTTGGTGTCGAGGCTTCGATGGCTGGATCCGAAAACCTTCAACACGTTTGATTCTGCAATGGGAATGGGAAGGATGTTTTAGTATCATTTAGGGATGATTGGAAATTATTCATTGAATTATTGCATGAATAGCTTTTTCCAATAAATATTTTTGAATGGCCTAAGCTGTCCTCTGCCTGAGAATGTACTCTTATTTATGTCCTCTATCTGAGATCACGAGTCAGACATATCTACAGGCCTTAGTGTAATAGTTGACCAACCCATATACCTTTTGGGCTTGTTTGATGGCCCCCAAAATATGAAGGAACGGAATCTTTGGAAGATTGAGTGGGTGTAGGAATGGGCCAACTAGGAAAACACCACCTGTCCAGTCCAGGAGAATCATCCAGGCCATGACCCAGTAGTTTCGTATAAGTTAGTTTTCAACGACGTATGAGGTTGAGGCATACCGTATGCTTTCCAGAAGCTCCAATCAGAGTGATATCTACACAAAAATAATCAATTCTTATACTGCGATGAATTCATTTCGAAACCAAAATTACAATAATGCATCAAAACAAAACCAATTAGATTGACGAGGGGCTTTCTTCTTTCCAGCAATAGTGACCCTCTTACCCTTCAAAGTTCAACAGTTGTTTTTGGTGTGCTGTCCCTGAATATGGCGAACCTCTCTGTAGCATTGAATCTCCTTCAATCGCCTTAAATTAAGAGCATTAAACCGCCTTTGCGATACCAGGTAAAAAACTGAAATTGCTTTCGTAACGAATGTTCACAGTTGCAGCTTTTAAAACAGGAGAATGGCAATTGCTAAGTCGCCATCATTCATATACTTGGAGACTTTTTTCACGCATCGTAATGAGTTCATCCCCTGATAAATCTTTGGCACAGAGAATTAACGAGCCCTAGAACGACCGATCCCTTAGATGAATTGAAGAGAGAATTCAACTCTCTTGTTGTTTCAATTACATATTGCGTGAAAAAAAAATTATTTCCTGATGTGCACCCTTTAAGTAACCTAGCACTAAGGTGGTCACAGATAGCAAGAATGGAGGATGGTAAGAGCAAAAACGATTATCGGAACAGAAACAGCAAAGAGACAGAGGAGAGAAAATAAGAGAGACGGAATGAATTTTAGAGTTCTCGGAATTACCCACGCAACCGCCATGCTATTTGTGCTGTCAGCAACAGACTAAACATCAAATGATCATAATGCCACTGATGGGCCAGTTACATCCACTCATGACTTGGGTTTTCATCTAACCATTAATATAACATTCAACATAAAATAACAGAATATTATTACTTCCACCAAAGATCATGAGCGGCCTGTAACAACACTCTCATCCTGTAAACAATCCTTGTCCTCAAGGATTGAAGTTTTGAAACTTCTATTGGAGCTCGTAAAGTACCTCCCATGTTGCATCTTTAGCAAACGTATTCACCCATTGAACCAAAACCTCAGTGATTGCTCTGCTACCTTTCTTTCCAATCCTTCGTTCAATGATTGTCGTGGGTTATCTACTAATTGCGCCATCCTCACTGACCATAGGAAGTTGTCTATGTAGTCTATTTCCCACATGCTTCTTCAGATGCGAAACATAAAAGACACAGTGCACCTTTCACCCTTTTGATAACTGAAGTGTATGAACCACATTCCCAACCTTTTCAATCACCTGGAAAGGCCCAAAGTATTTAGCAGAAAGCTTCAAGCAATTTCTATTAATAATAGAATTCTGTCTGTAAGGTTGTAACTTGACATACATCCAATTTTCCAACTCAAATCACTCCTTCGATCAGCCATGTTCTTCATCCTTACTTGGGTCCGTTGTAGATAAAACTTCAGCATTTTGACTCCTTTCTAGCTTGCAGGCTTCTGTCTACTGATGCAACTAATGAATTTTCAGCCAAGTAGGGAAGATTTACAGGCGCAGGTTGGCCATAGACCATAGACCACCTCGTATGGAGTGGTACGAGTGGCAGAATGATAGTTGGTGTTGTACCACCATTCAGTCAGTGATAACCAAAGGCTCCATTCCCTAAGCTTCTCTCTAGTCATGCACCTTAAATAAATTTCTAGACACCGATTAACCACTTCAGTTTGGCAGTCGGTTCGTGGATTATGAGCTGTATAGAGGTAAAGAGTTGTACCATGCCTCTTGAACAACTCATGCCAGAAATTGCTCAAGAATATCTTGTCCCTATCAGAGACAATGCTATTGGGCATCCCATGAATTTTGTAAACGTTATCCATGAAAGCCCGGGCCACTGTCAAAGCAATAAATGGGTGTGTGAAGGGAATAAAGTAGGCATATTTGCTAAACTAATCGACCACCACCATAATCACATCCTTGCTCTGTGATTTTGGTAATCCTTCTATAAATTAAAATCCAATGAAATGTCAGCATACATCCTATCAGGTATAGGCAGGGGCTATATTAAGCCTGAACTAGCAGCGTGATCATCCTTATGCTGTTGACAAGCTATACATTCCCTCACATATCTTCTTACCTCTTTCTTCTGGCCCTGCCAATATAGGACACTAAAAAGTCTATTCATTGTAGCCTGAACCCTAGAGTGTCCCCCGGTGGGACTGTTGTGAAAATACCGAATCAGCTCCTCCCTCAATTGAGGTACTTTACCCACCACCAATTTCCCTTTCCTCTCTAGTTGATCCCCATCCAAGAGATATACTTAAGAGTTGGTGGGGACAAAATTCTCTAGCTGCAAGATGATTTCCTGTACGTGTGTCCTGTTCCACGACTGATACCACTGATGTGCACCCTTTACCAAACCTAGCACTAAGGTGGTCACAAATGGCAAGAATGGAGGATGGTATAAGCAGAAACAGTTATCGCAACAGAAACAGAAAGAGAAAGGCGACACAGAATAAGAAAGAGACGGAATGAATTTTAGAATTCTCGAGATTGCCTCAGTTTGGCAACCGCCATGCTATTTGTGCTGTCAGTCACAGACTAAAAATCCAATGACCATAATGCCACTCATAGGCCAGTTACACCCATTCGTGACTTAGGCTTTCATCTAACCCATTAATATAAAATTCAACATAAAATAACTAATTACTATTACTTCCACCAATGGCCATAAACGGCCTACAACAATTCCCTAATAGAAAAAAAAACGAAAGAAAACTCATTTAGTCAATAAACAATGCTAGATGATACAAGATCAAATCCATTTTTTAACAATTCCATAAAAATGGTAGAGGTTCTTCATCATCATTCCACCCAAATACGAAACTGATCCAATTATGTTGAAGCCTAATTGATAGGAAAAAGAAAATGGGATTTAATTGGAGGGGAGGGAAAGATTAAATATGTATCACAAGCAAATCTACATCAAAGCTTATTAAATATGTATCGCAAGCAAATCTACATCAAAACTTATCAAAAGAAGTAACAACTAAACGCAAGAAATTAGACCTAGTTACGAGGCGCTCTGTGTCCTTCTCTACCAGCATTTAGACCCTTTTTTGCAGTTCGAGAATTGGTTTTTGTGCGCTGTCCTCTGCAAGGCAATTTATCCTCATGCCTAATCCCTCTGTAGCACTGAAGACCCTTCAATCTGCTTATGTCCGCAATGACACATCGCCTCTAAATTAGCCAAGAAATGAAGTATATTAGAGAAAGTAAGTTTCTTGAGCAAGGAAGTAGTGTAGGGAAAGAAGTTTAATACCAAATCTTCTCCAATGACGTATGTGTTAGAGACATGCTCACGAAGAGCCACGAGTTCTCTTGCAGTTAACTCATTAGTGAGTTTGTTTTCTATATTGAGCTCACTTAAGATCTGGCGAGCTCTGTTATGGCCAATTCCAAAGATGCTCTGAAGAGAAACGGCAAGGCGCTTGTGGTCAGGAATTTCAGCTCCTCCCACACGAATGCCTTGCACTTTTATTCCACGAAACTGCAAACAAAAAAAAAAAAAAAATCAATATGCCCACAGTTTCCAGTTGGTATCAGGAATACATAAATGTTCATTTTCTGAAAACAAATAAAAGCCTGACTTCAACTATCAAACTGAACTCATCCCAGTTGAACTATCGCACATTAGCATAGGATCCTATCAGTTTGTTCCAGACCAACTTGAAGGGAAAGAAAATAGAAATCAAAGTCAACAGTAACACCATTTAATGATATAAAAATTTTAAAACGTTATACCGAAATCTAATTTACAACTTCAAAGAAAATTTGTCTGTTAAACCCACCTCTGATATTTACTTAATTAAACAGTTAATAGACACAAAAGACTAACAGACACAGTCATTAACCCAGAAGCACATGATGAGTAACGAAATCTCTAGCTCTGAAAATAATATAATCATAAACCTTGGCACGAGGCATCAACACAGGAATAGGATCATAAAATTCTAAAAATTGTAGACATTTTGCGTAAAGAAAATTAAGGAATAACACTCACCGTTATGGTTTGGACGAGCCGGTTACTGATATCGGAGATTACTCCAACTGAACCTCGTAAACCCAACATTCCGGAACACGGTGAGACTAGTAGATTTGGCGAGAACCAGACTCTGCGACTTCGGTAAGTGGGTGGAGAAGGTGTTCCCTAGGGTTTTGTTTGTCATTTAGGGGTGGCAATCAATGATCCACTTGGGCCGTTGATTTTTTCCAGCCCAATATGAACTAAAGCTTTGATCTGTTTGCTGTCTTGCTGTAACCCAACGGTTACAGGTAAAGCCCAAATTTTCTTTTTCATTTTTTTTTCGAAAACAAAAAGCAAATTACATCTAAAAACCAGTGTATTATATATTGATGGACTTTATATATAAAAAGAAAATCACATCTATACTCTTCTATATTAAAAAAATCTTTAAGGGATTAAGGTTGTGTTTGGTGAATAAGATGATAGAGAAGATAGAATGATAATCATTATATATTATATTTAGTTTGTATTTAAAGAAAATGATAAGATTACAAGAAGAATTAATATTTTTTTGGTATAGAATGATTCAATCCTTTCAAAGTATAAAGAATTATTTTTAAATCCATGAAATTAAATTTACATGTCCTATTATACTTTTAAAAATTATATAAATAATTTAAATTATAAAATTTATATAAATTTTTAAGAAAATAATTTTGATTAATAAATAAATTATCTTATTCTAATATTTGTACTTATCAAATATATAATAGGATTATATTATTTAATTTAATCATATTTATAATATCATCTTATTTTATCTTATCATAATCTTATGTACTAACTAAATTCATCTTAATGACATATTTTCATTTCAATTTTTTGGATTTTGAAAGTAGGTTAGGTTAAGTTGTAGGTTTATGTTAAATTTTTGTAGGCCAAAACTCTAGAATAATTTATTCATTTGTGAGCTGTGGGTTTAAGATTGGTTTTTGTGTGTTGAGTTTCAGGTTGAGTTTTTTAGTTTAGGTTTTAAGGTTGAAATCTTGAAGTGCAAACTAGAAAATGTCTTTAAGTGTTGAGAGGATACTTATGAAAAAGTATTGAGAACATCCAAAGTTTCTTTTTCTTTGGATGTACTTATCATTAAATATAAAATACTAAAAATATAACAAAACCTAAACTAAAAAAGTAAAAACAATATAATATAATAAAACCTAAACTATAAAAGGTGAAAAAAATAATAAAACCAAAACTAATAAATTGAAAAAATGATTTTTAATTATATAAATTAAACATAATGAAACAATAATTATTTATAAAATATTTTTTAAAAAGGATTTTTTTTTAAGTTAAAAGTTTCAATTTTTTTCTAGATTTTCTTAAATAAAATAATTATATATTTTTATGAAAAGTGATGAGAGGATCCAAAATTTATTTTTGCTTGGATAAGTAGTATATTAAATTTTTTTAATTGGAATATTTTTGCTATATTTAATATGTGAATTAAAAATTTTATTAATATTTTTATGTTAAAAATAATCATAAATATATAAAAAAAATTGAAAATTTTTAATGAAAAATAATTGAGCCAAAGAAGCCAGGCCAAATTCTAGTTTCACATAAAAAATTTAGGTTTAAAAAGTAAGTAGAATAAGATTAATTCAAAATTTATAAGGAGATTCGAATTTTAAACCTCATTTTAAAAAAAATAAACCTCTATTTAAAAAAAAAAAGAAATAGTGCATATATTTATACCTTATCAAACTTAAATTATTCTGAAATATATATATTAGTTTGTGACCCATGCGATGTACAAATTAAATTTATTTATTAATTAAGATATTTTAAATTTGTGAAATTATTAATTAAAATTTATTACTACAAATAAACTAAAAGGACTATATAAAAATATATGTCAACAATTAAACATCAGTTAACAATAAAATATTTATGTAATCAATAGATAAAAAAATTACTTTGTATCCAAAAGAAATTGCTTTGGAATATATTTGATTCCACTTTTAAATCTATGTGATTCCAAAACTAATAATTAAATATAAGAGGCCTACTCAAGTTACAAAAATATATAAAAACCCACTTAAATTACAAAACAATAAAAAATAATATAGAAATTCTTGAATTGAAAAATATTTATTGATTAAGCAAAACTTACTATCAATACCTTTAGGAAAAAAATATTTTGTGGCTTAATATTTATATACACAATTTATGTTATCACTTTTTTTACTTGAGAAAAAATGTGTTAATATAAAAATTAAAAAGATAAATATTTAAAAATTTAAATATAGTAGCAATAACAATAATTATTCTCTTTACTGTATTTTTGTTTCCCACTTTTTATTTAATAAAATATTATAATAAATATAACCTTGCATGTTAAACACCATTATTGGGAAGTTTCATATATCCAAAAAAATAAGTAGTAAGATTAATGACTAACCAATTATTTGGCACCTAAATAAGATCTTCACATAGAACAAGATTTTCACAAAGTTAAACTCAAAGCATAATACAAAAAATTTAATGAATGAAATACATATATATTATCTATAAATGATATAAACCAATTTTTTATTTAATAATTTTTTTTGGCATAACAAAAAAAAAATCTCAAAATTTTGTTTTAGTGTTTAAAAATTGTGATCTTGATAAAAAAAAAAGTAATTAAAATATTTAGAAAATGTGAAGCAAAAAAAAAAGAGTTAAAAATAAACAATAATGTTAGAAAATAAGATTAAGTCAAAAAAGAATTGGCAATATTAATCAAACCATTAAAAAAATATTAAGAAATTTGCCTTAAAAAAAGAATTTGAATAAAAATAATATAAGTGTAGGATTATTAGACATGGAAATACATACTTCATATTTTACCTATAATCAATATAAGTTCAATCAAGGAAATATTAAAAAATTTTGAAAGTATGGAGGATACAATAAGTGATTTTAATTTGTTTGAATTTTTTAAAAGAATACCAAATATTAAAAGATTATGAGGAAATCTATAAAGATATTGAAATTTTCAAATTCAAAAGAGATATATGTATATTATTAGAAATTTTTATTTTAAAAAAAATCTCTAAATTATATTAAAACTATAATATATGTACAAGTAAGTGATCATGAAAAAATGTTTATTTGATCGTATATTTAAAACGATTTTATGTGTCATCAAAATAGATTGTACACATAGGATTACACATGAGCAAATCTTATAAGGTATTCTTGTATATTGTAATATAATATTATATGTGATATATAATTGATTTTTCATTTAAATCTTGATAAACTTTAATTCATAAATATATTTAAATAATAATTTTATCTATAGATAATATTTAATCAGATACCAATATTTAAATTTTAGTATTTAATACCTTTATCCTCTAAAAAGAAATATTTAATCAAATAATTACTTGATAACTTAGACTTAAGAAATTTCATCAAAGTGACAAACATGATTTATTAGAGTTTAAAAGTTGTTTAACACAGATTTTCTTCTTATTGTCATTTATTTGTGTATTGTAATTTTGTTTGCATAAATAAATGAAACAAATTTATTAAGTTTATTTTCTTAGTTGTTTTTAAATCATAATAAAAAAGATATTATGAATTAAGAAATAGAAAAAAAAATGTTACAGCTGATTTGGAAAAAAAAATCTTACCTGATGAAGTAAATAGTATGTTTAGTAAAATAGTACCTGTTATCAAAAAAATATGTTAGTTCTTATAACAAGAATAAACTAATAAAAAGAAAGATTAAATTAATAGTAAGAAAAATACGTTTAGCTCATATACTTCGTGACACATTAGGAAAGCCATATAACTAAGAACTATTAATAATGAGGGCTTTCGTGAAGTTGCTATGGTATTTATATATTTTTTTTGTTACATTTTCTTAAAATATTAATATTAAAAGTCTATGATAAATATTGATTTAAATTTAAATTTTATTTTAATTCAAATATATCTAAATCTATTTTTTAAAACCGGTGGATTATTTATTAAAATCATCTTTATTTATAATTAATATATTTTAAAATTGAAGATAATGCAAGAATTATTTATAAAAAAATATTAAAGATATTAAATAATATTTTTAAAAATTTTGATAAATTTAAATAATCATTTTAAGTACAAATAAATTGGAAAAGATAAATTATTTTAAAGGTGATTTAAATTGAGATTAGGTGATGTACATGAGAAATGACTTTCATTAGAATTTAAATTGGTTTTTGATTAAATTTTAAAATTTTAGATAATTTAATAATTTTTAAAATATGATTTTTTATAAATAATTTAAAATTAATAAATATCTTATGTGTCATTATAATGAAATGTTTTAAAAATTATCTTATACGTCAAAAAAAGAAACTGTCCATGTAAAGTCCATATCAACAAATGCTATATGATAATTAAGTATATTGCAATAATAATATATATATATATAAATAAACAATTTTGTCTTGTCTCGATGATGTCACTTGCTTGATTTTTTTGTTATTACAACATATCTCTTTCTAGTTCCATGAATATAGGCGCGTAAGCATAAAAATTTCAAATCAATGAAAAGATCACTGATCTAGCTAAGTTTAGCAATTGGTTAAATATAAAAATAAATAACCCTCTTAAATGGGATCAAAATATTTCACAAGTGATCAAGATCTAATTATTACTATAAATTTAATACTTCAATAATGATTTTAGTGACCTAAATGTGTAAATATAAGAATACTATAAGGGACATGTTAGCTCAAAGACTTGGAATAAATCAAGAGAAGGGTGAATTGGTTTTTAATGACGTTTTCAAAAACAATATTCAATAAGCACAAATTTTACTAAACAATTAAACACAATAATTGAAAGTAAATAAGAGATAAAGATAGAGAAGATAACACTGCAATTTATAAAGGTTTGGTCATTCCTTAGGCACCTATGTCCTCTCCCTTAGCCTCTCTTGCCAAGGAGTTCAATCCACTATATGAAAAAGGTTACAAGCAAGCTTCTCAAAACTTTACAAGAACTTAACTCAACACATTCTTAAGGGTTATCATCCCCATTGAGCTTACAAGCATACAATACAAAATTTTGAAGTGTTTTACAAATTCTAAGAACCTCTCAAAGGTTTGGTGTTTGCTAATTTGAAGTACACAATGATATAAACAAAAAAAGTAATGAATGAACAACAAAAATAGTTTGG